TACATACACGCCAAACCGTATATTGGATTACGCATTAACTATTACATACACGCCAAACCGTATATTGGATTACGCTATAAAGTTATTGACATGTTTATATCTAGGATGGAGGAAGAATAAAGCAGAAAATATCTAATAGTAAAAATAGCAGCACCCACTCTTCACTTCCAGTCATTACTGTAAACTTTTAATAACTTACAAAATACTGGTCTAAAAGTTGTTATCGATCAGATCAGTCACTTTCTTAATTAAATCATTATGTATTAAATAAGCAATTTAATTACGCATGTTTCCATTTGAAAAATTCAAGTTGACAACTTTATAAGATATAAGAGATGAAAATTAAAAATATTTTATAATTGAAAAATTGAGAAAAACATCAAACTAAATAAAAGAAATCAATAAAAAAATTATTTTTATTTTTTGATAAATTAAGTGGTTATGATAAACAAATCACACTGTATAACAAGTTTATTGAATTGTTACAAAAATAAATATAAAATTATTACCTTTGTGAGGTCATTACTTTATTGTATGGCCCTTCATACAGCGCGAATAACACCCTAAAACAAATTTTAAATTAAAGTAAAAATAATATAAATTTAGTTGTTTAAAATGTTTTGTTTAGTTAAAATGTTTGAAATTAAAATGTCTAATATTAAGTAATCTATATTTTATATTTAACTAAAAAAAAGAAAAAAAAATAGAATAAATAAACATATTATGGTAAAATTGAAGATAATAATGTAATAATATTCTTTATATTATCATAATCTTTCCTTTTAGATGTATAAAAAATTACTCACTCCAAATAAGAATTAAGTATGATATATACATTTTAATTTTTCTAAATTCATTTATTTTATTTCAATATTCTAATGAAGGACTAAGGACAATAATATTTCACATTTCTCTGTTTAATTAATCTAGAAGTTACCATGGCCCAGTTCTTTTTGAAAACCAAATTTATTTAAATAAACTCATTCTAAACCATTTATTGAAGCTCCTGGATTAACATACATAGTTAAAAATTTTACAATTCACAGTCCCAATTTTAGGGAGCTTAATACACGGAGAGCATAAAATCATAGACAAGCCTTAACTGAGCTATATTTTAAACGTAATCCTAAAAAAAATGTATAACTATATTTTTTGTGTAGTGAATTTTGAGTATCGTACGATTGTAGTATTAATATGTAGTCATTTTTTCTATTGTATAATGTTGCAGAATTTCACAAAAATAAAATTAACTTACTAAGAGGGCTTCACTACTTTGATGGTGCCACCACATCGACCACGTCTTCCTTCACCATTACCACTACTATCCTTCATTCCATAAAAAAAAGCTTCTTTTATGTTGAACATCTGTAATACAAACATAATATTACAATAAAATAAAGCTACAATAAAAAAGACATTTTATTTGTTAGTGGTAAATCGCAATAATTCAATAAAATGGAATATTAAAAAAATATATACAATATGTACATTAGATCAGTTTGTATTGAGACTGTAAGGGCTTAAGGTTCCCACAAATTAACTGCATTTTAAGGGGAAATGAAGAGATTACAAAGCATTATCTTTAGCAAGCTCTTCTCCTTGTTTACTGTCCAGAATTATGAAAGTATATAAAAATGGTCCTATAGCCCTATTTGTAACTAACAAAATCCGAAAAAAATATTTTCAAAAAACTTATTATTTCAAGAGAAATTGAGTGGCTAGTGTTAAAAAGATCACTACATTTAAAACTATTTATTTTTATATTTATTATTTATCTGAATNTAAAAAAGACATTTTATTTGTTAGTGGTAAATCGCAATAATTCAATAAAATGGAATATTAAAAAAATATATACAATATGTACATTAGATCAGTTTGTATTGAGACTGTAAGGGCTTAAGGTTCCCACAAATTAACTGCATTTTAAGGGGAAATGAAGAGATTACAAAGCATTATCTTTAGCAAGCTCTTCTCCTTGTTTACTGTCCAGAATTATGAAAGTATATAAAAATGGTCCTATAGCCCTATTTGTAACTAACAAAATCCGAAAAAAATATTTTCAAAAAACTTATTATTTCAAGAGAAATTGAGTGGCTAGTGTTAAAAAGATCACTACATTTAAAACTATTTATTTTTATATTTATTATTTATCTGAATATTCATTCAGATTTTTATTTTTACAGTTATAATGTACGAACATTTTCCTAATATTTTTTTGTTTTATTAATGTTTATTTGTTAGAGTTATGGATATTGAGAAAAATGGCGAAGACAAAATGGATAGATGAGAAAAGAAATGAGCAAGTGTGAGAAGATAGACTGCTAATGAAGATGATTGAATCAAGAAAACTAAAGTTAATCGGATCCGGCACAATGACTTAATAATCAACATCTTCGAAGGAAAAATAACTGGAAAGAAACCAAGAAGACACACAAGGAAACAATATTTTGAAAATATCCTGTAATTCATAAACTGTGCGCCTTTTGTTGCACTGAAGAATTTGGCGTCAAACAGAAAGGAGTAGCTCCAACGATAAGGCATTGCCTTTAATAGATGATGAATGTGACAATACAATTAAATATCTACATATTAAACTGTTTCATGTATGGATATCTATAAATAATAATTATATATGAGTATCCAGAAATATATTTATTTCCATAAAATATCCTGCAAAATTGTCAGTGTTTTTTTATAATATTTTAGAAATATACTTTAAGTATATCGTGAATACATTGTGACAATATTTCAAAATATACTGGTTATATTATAGAAGTATTTCATTGCTATGTGGATGAATATGTGTTTAAATTACTTTATACTATTTGGTCGTAAAATGAAATATGCCCNGATGAATATGTGTTTAAATTACTTTATACTATTTGGTCGTAAAATGAAATATGCCCATATTCCTAGAATATTTATTTTTGATATTAAAATATTTCTAGAATATAACCAGAATATTTTGAAATATTCTCACAATGTTCTCAGAATATACTTTGGCAGCGACTATTACATTCTCACAATATTTTAAAGGTATATTTCTAAAATATTATTAAAAAAATGCAAAAAATAAGCCAGCTTCGCAGAATCCGAACCTCGTACTTACAGTACTTCAGACTCGTGTGTTACCAATTGCTCTATAGGTTGTTACGACTGTAAGAAGATAAAAAAGGCTATTTAAGGTAGTTCAAGTGGTTATTTGTCTGTTAAGTCATTTTTCCATTTAAAAAAATTCAATGTAAATACAACTTTATATTCAATTTAGATTAGATTCATATAATATTTTTGAAAATCGGCGATCTCATCACCATAATCGCTCCTTGTAAGTTAGAAATTGACCTAAATTGTTGATAATATAAAAATATATTCTAATTATAATAAAAAAACTTTTTAGGATTTTAAGTTTCACAGGATAATAATAAGATATCATTGCGGATATGTTGGTCGACGTTGTCGCTTTCACAACAGGAGGAAGACTCCCGCACTAGGGATGAGTAATTCACGAATGAATCGATTCCCCGGATGATTCGATTGAAGTGATTTAGTGTGGTAGAAGAATCAGTTAATGGGTAACACTGAAATTTAGCTTATCTCGCAATAAAAGCACACCTAAATATACCATGATCTACGTTATCATTGTTATAGCAAACAATTCTGATTTTCAAAATACCATTAGTTCGAACCAAAAAATGGATAAGCAAGAAAACATCAAACCACTTTTCTGACTAGGAATATTTTTAACGGAATTTAAAAAACAATGCATAATAAAAAAATGTTATATCTGGCCCCCCCAAATTACCAACAAGCAACTGTTACTATTTACTATCAAAAAAAATAATGATCATAAAAATCGTTGTATAACTATTTGATCTTTTAGTGTCTAAACATTATCATGATAAAACATTTTTTAACGTGACAAAAGTATCTAGTTATTTTTTTGTCTATTTGTATATATACAGGGTGTTCAGTAAGTCAGGAAACGGGTTTCTATTGTTCTCATTGTTTGTAACAATGAGAACAATAGAAACCCGTTTCCTGACTTACTGAACACCCTGTATATATATATATATATTTGTTTTGAGCCGAATGCGGACTGCGATGGCGTTTGTCAGTAAAATTATCATGATAAGGTATTGTGATTTGTTTATGCGCGTGCGAGATAGTCAGCTGTGTACTACTTCACACCGGTTAATGGACGGCATTTGTGCCTCCTTTGGCGCTCCTTTCCTATCTTGAACGTCATTTGCACTGCTCACCGCATACATCGTCGCCTTATGATTTAACTTGTCTTAGTAATTTCCGGCACTGGGTATTAAGTTTTTTTTTGAACCCTACTCCAAAGGCTAGCCGTGTTGTCGCCAACGGACCGCCGGGTCAAACGTCGGACGGGTTGTCGGGGTATAGCCATCCCGTTTCGCTGCGCTACAGTGTCGGCGTGATCGGGCTCTACGGGGCTACGAAACGTCGGCACGAGCGCAGTTTCCCTAGCTCGGGGAATCGGGCGCGTCCTCAGGTTGCGGATAGAGGAACGGCCTGCAGATATTCAGGTTAGCCGTGAAATAAGCAGTCCATTAATTTGGACTGACGAATAAGCGGTCGCGGACAGCGAGCCCCTCGTTCGCTCGTTAACCCTGCAGATATGTAGGGTAGCCGTGATATAAGTCACTCCTAGAGTGAACGAATAAGCGGTAGCGATCGAGGGTAATTTCATAACGGGCGGGTGGGCCCGATAGCCTGGTAAGGCAACCACCTAGGTGAAGGCAACACCGAAAACAAATCCCCTGGCGGCAGGTAAAACGCAGGGAAGGACACCCGTAAAAACCAATCATGGAAGGAAACCAGTGTAAAAAAACCGTTACGGTTCCAGAAGGTTCGGATCCTTCAGGACCGGCTGGGAAGAGTGCTGTTGCAGGCTCGACCCGGTCGTTATCTAGCGACTGCATCGAAACCGTGGGACTGGTGAGGCAGGGTCCAGGGGGCGTTCGCGCCCAAGTAATTGTCGGAGGGTGTGCCAAGCAGGCACCCTCCAGTGACCTTCGGGTCACTGAGGTAACTGCTGGGGGTTTTACTATCACCGAGGAGATAGTGGACGATTGGGAAGGCGTGCGTGATCGCTT